CACACAGCATCACAGAACACAATCCAGCAATCAAGTACAAACTATACAGGATTGAGTCCTATATAGACTGTGACAACGTAGTGCATCCGATCGTTGCTTCATTTAGAGATTATTCTCAGTGGACTCTTACTTCGCGGTTAGATATGTAAAGAAGTTCAAGGCAGATAGCGACCAAATTTACTGATGGACAACATAGTTTAATTGATGGAGACTAAAAACAATTTTAAATTTCTCTATATACCTCTTCTGGCCATAAAGTATTGGACCTATGAGCCAAAGACTGCCTCAGGTTTAGTCAAAAGTTGTTGAAATAAAAATGAATACTAATGTTTGGAACAAATTCAGTTTCTAGTCTGTGACAGCTTTTTAGATGTAATGCTCCAGATTGTTATGTTCTCGGTAAGTGTGGAAGAGTCCCGATTGCTTGCCATACATCATGAAGATGTGTTTAATAATGATGTAAACTATAAAAATATGCCTGAACAACTGACAAAAATCAAAATTCTACATGTTTTACAATATTGTAGTTCCGTGTGTTAGGTGTAAATCAACATGGGCGTGTCAAGTTAAAAACTAGTTAGTCCGTCGAAACCCCACAGATGTATGGGACCAGCGAGAAATGCAAAATGTGAACGATTTTCCGGCAATTTTCTTATTTTATCACGAGGATACTGCAAAGTACGTAGAAGACAATACAGATGGAGTAACCTTATTATTATTATTATTATACATCTTTTTCTCCCAGGAATACATCATGGGAATGCCGAAATCCAAAACGTTTAGAACAGATTTAGCGAACTTTATTGTGTGGGGTCCGGTCAAACCCAGAGGGCAGCTATGTTTGTTTTTATTATTAGAGGACGCTTACGCGCGTAATCGTTCCATATTTGGAATTCTCGTTTCCTAATATGGTAGGATGAAAATTACGGCACGCTGTAACTTATGGCGTTACGGTGACAGATGTATAATAATACAAAAATGTTTATTTTATTAGAAAAAAATGGATGTTAGAATTCAAATTGACCAATCCAGAAATAGCATTATGACATCATAGTCAGTTTAAAGGGCAGTGATCGTCGCGCAGTGCGTGTTAGAATTTCATGTAAAATATACTTATTTTATTTTACCTCAGTCTACTATGGATACGTTGTGCGCGTTGCTATGAGTCCCATATCGAACAGGACGCGGCGCGACGACCAACTCTTCACATTAATATTAATGAGTAGCCCAACATTAACCAATCAGCAAGCGCTTCGTTTGGAATGATTAGGCAGTCGCAGTTTCTATGTCACGTGAAGGTATGTAGACAACGTTTCTTGGGCCAATCACTATACATGTATTTGAATTTGAATAAAGGTAAACCAAGGTACAACTCTCTTCCTCTCACAGTATTTAAAATAAGAATATTAAAATATTTTACTACCATTGAGACCGTAAATAAAATTGAAATCAATTGAGTTTATTAAATATAAAGACTGTTAAATATAAATACAAACTGGACAATGCGATGATGGAGTGGCAAAGCCCAATAAATGTTTTTTGTGTCATAAGTTGAGTTTCTACTACGTCAACGTCACGTGATATTATCGACAACTGCCCTCTACGGCGGTGTACAAATATGTTACAGGGGGTCGGGGCATCGCCGCATATTATTGTGTCGTAAGATTCATTACATTTTTGTGATGTAAGTAAATGTTACCATTATTCTAGAACGATCAGTCTCCACCAGAATTGTAATTAACTTGCTTGTCGATTAGCGCGCCGGGTCAATATGGATGTCCTAATTTTGTACTTTGACCCTATTTCGCTGTGTGGCTTGAAATTTCACGTTGGTGTTATTTTGTTTTGTATTTTTTATTTTCGGAAGTTTGGCCTATATCTGTCGTTGATGTGATGGCAAACATGGACGATGATGGTAACCACATACAAGAAACAGCGACAAAATTTCAACAGTATGTTGCATTCTGCTACCGTGCTTGGGATGACCTGTCTTCAGACCAACAACAACGACTGAAGAAAATTTATTTCCGCCAGCTGGAAGACGATAATAGCAGAAAGCTAGAAATTATTCTTGAAGAAGGTTTCAGCGCTAATATGATGTTTAAGCCAACTGAATACATAGCGTTCCCAGAAAAGCCGGCTAAGACAGTTCCGCCCCTCAGACAATATGGGAGCGGACAATCAGAACTACCAGCTATCACTATATCAACAGCATTATATTCTGCTGATCGACCGACTAATCACTGTCTGCAGATTCTTTTACAGCATGGCGCCGATGTTAATGTCAAGAGTGACCCCTTGTACGTTGCAACTAAGATGGAAAACATCCATGCTATGTCGATATTGTTGGAGCACGGCGCCGCTATCATCGGTGAACTCTACTTGGATCTAACGCACAAACACCCTACACCTAAACGCGTGGATATTTTGAAACTATTGCTGCAGTATGGCACATCGGTCAATCAAACGTTTTACCGCTCGAATACATTGCTGCACATTTCAGCCACCGATCGTTATGAGAAAGTGGATTATTTGGATATTTTAATGAGATTTGGCGCGGACATGAACTCCCGGAACCAGGCGGGCTATACGCCTTTATGCTGCGCAGCCAGTATGGGAAACCTGAATGCGTTTCAATGTCTGTTAAACGCTGGAGCTGAATTCAATACCGAATCTTTGGATAAATCAACGCCATTACATCTTGCATTTCGCAATGCTATGACAAAGTGTGTCCCATCTATTCTCAATATAATTAGCACTGATGTCAACGCCATCAACGGCGATAACTGTACAGCTTTAGATTATGCTATGATATGTGGTCCAGTTTTCAATGAATTCGACAGAAACGGCAAATTCTTCCGCAAAATACCGTCTGCAAAATACGTCAAGTTGTTGTTATATCACGGGGCCAGGTTAAACAAGTTTGATTTAGAAGACTTAAAAGCGTTTCTAACACGATCGCCCTTTGACGTTCAACTACTTACCCTACTTGTCAATGTTTACCCTAATTGGAAGTTTTCGGAGTTCCGGTATTATCCTTCTAACCTCAAGAAATGGTATCCAGAATTTTACCAAGAGTTGACTGATTTAGGATCAAAACCCAGGTCGCTTAAACATCATTGTAGGTGTGCACTGCGATTTGGTTTGAGGAATAAATACCAAGCAACCATTCTATCACTTACCTTGCCTTCGACAATCAGACGATATTTGCTATTTGATAACAACAATGACTTGTCATGATTCTAACCTAGAATTATACATTAGTGTATAGAATACCATTGTTTATCATTACGTGTATAAGTCATTTTTATTCAAATGTGTTTGCATCTGAATACAAACAAATCCGCGTAAAAAACATCGTGTTTTGTGAGGGTTTTCTTGATAGATGTTGGAATTGATTGGAATTGAACAGATACATTCATTACATGTTATTGGTGGGTGACTTTAACACTATAAACCACGACACAAATGCTTCGTCTCTGGGAGACTTTATGATTGGTGTATTCGGTCATTTGAACTTACTCACTCATGTAAGTGTGTTTACATAGTCGGTATGGTTACCATGGTAATGAGTACACCTAATAATTATAACCAACACTCTATTTAAGATTTGAATAATAATTGAGTTATTATTAAAGTAAGTTCCAATAAATACGTGTCATTGGTGTCTTATTTCGGATTCGCTTAGGTCCCATTGCAAAGATACGTAAAATTTAAATCGTAAATTTAAAATCTTCCCTCGTTTTAGGGATTGCCGTAACCAGTGCATGTCGATTGAAATCAGACCAGACAATTTTGGCAATGTCGTTATATAAGAATGATTTTTATTGTGTGCACAGTTCATTTTTCAGGCGGTAAATATTCGTAGCGTTGATCAACAACGTTTTAGGCTACCAGTGACTGTACAGGCTTGTGTTAGCTTAGCTTACGATACCGACAATGATCAATATGTTCAAGGTATTATGCTACCGTAAATTGAACTAAGTTTTATACTCTTTATTAATATCAGTATTATAAACCTTTATAAAACGCGCTATGCTGCGTTTAGTGGCCCTGATCAATACGACGCTGGTCGAAAATAATTAAAATTTACATTAAATCAGTAATTGCGTCCATTAAAAACGTCTTTAGGTTGTCATTAAAATGGTAATAGTATAGGTAATGTGAAGCATCGAAGGAAGTTCATTCCACAAAACTGGGCGAGCCAGTGATTTGGTCATGGCGCTTTACCAGAGTTATCTACAAATGACCTGAGAGGGCGTACTGGTACGTACTTAATGCTGTGGTATGATGTACAAAATGAATTTACAATTGTGTGAACTATCCACAGTGATTGAAATAGAAGATACCGGATTTTTTCCAATATGACGAACATTGTGATTATACATGACTTATCAATTATATAACGAATATTGAGCAAATATATGATATGCAGTGAAATATATCATCCAAGTATCGTTTCCCACGTCTTTATTTTTTTTAATTAAACTACAGCCAATAGGTAAAAACTCAATTATATGCCCGAGTACAATACATATATTTACATATAATGTACAAACACGAAGACAATTTAACGTAAAAAGAAAATTTAACGTAAATAGAAATCCAAGAAAATAAATAAATAAATGTAAAAGCGTATAAAACTACCGTAAAAATGTGTAGCTAAACTACTAAGTCCTAAAGTTGTCAATGTTATTATCATTGTTGGGCAATTCATTAAAAAGAGACAGAGCCAAGTAATGATAGTTAAAATCTTACGTCAGTACATCGACCACACATCAGGACATCCGTCACAAAAAAGTACATCAACCATACACAGTAAATCGACCAATACATAGTACATCGACCACACATATCGACAAAAATGTCTTTGATAATGTGAGTAACTGTATCAAAATGAGGTCGGCAAGAAGTATATTTTTAAGCTTTAATCAACTGTTTTTATTTTCGTAAGAATGTAATTTAAATAAATAAAAACATGAGCAAAGTGTAAAATGTAATCAGCTATTCTATTCATCCGTACTTGTACAAAGATCTTTTTACCTTAAGCGTATAAAGCATTTTCAACATTGCATATTGTAAATGTACAGCCTTTATATAAAGAGAGTTACATAACTAACCAGATGGTCAAATACAGGGCAGTTGTAATTATGTATACACATCTATTAAAGCTCATTGACATGCAAATTACTACAATTTTCAACTTGCAATTGCTCTTTTGAAGACCGGCGTCGTGCGAAAAATCTCCAGTTTGCAAAACCTTCCGGGTGAGATCGTTGCACATGCGCAGTTAAGTTCTTGAATTATGGAGGTGTTTTTTGCGATATACTTTCCGTTGGGTATAGTTTAATAGATTCTCGTATATAATGTGGATTGTTCAATGAAAATAAACGTTTTGCTGGTAGTACATGATGTCCAATAAATACGTGTCTTGGTGCCGTCAGAAAACAATGAAAACTGAATGTAGATGCGTCGAAGGCGGAGGGCTAAGTTGTTACATATATCTCGGCCACGGAAGTATCATACACACACTTGTTTTATATCATCGATTGAAACCTTGCAATTCTATATAGTTATAATTAAATTATTTATTTTATTTATACTTACTTGTACGTTGCGAGAACAGCGTATCATTTATTTAATTATTAATGGCTCGTACACAGTGCTTTGCACCATGTACGTACTAACATTGGTGCAAGTGCAGCGTCTTTATATGTATTTACTCTACATTACGGCGTTTATTTATTTATTTATTTATTTATTTATTTATTTATTTATTTATTTATTTATTTATTTATTTATTTATTTATTTATTTATTTATTTATTAAATCATACGTTGCAAGCATGACGTATTTATTGGTGTGTCAGTTAAAACGTAGGAGTTATTAGTAAATATAATTAAAATAAATAATTAAATATAAATATATGTAAATAATTGCCAGGCTCAATCAATAAATTTTTAAAACTAAAAAATTACCGAAGAGTCAAATGGTGACTCCCACACCCACCGTATATCTCAGACATGTTAAAATTATCTGATGTTGGAAGTCACATGATTTTCTGAAATACTGATACCAAAAGTACTTGTAATAATGAAACCACCAGTAATACAAATAATACAATTATCTATATATAAACAAAATAAAACAATCTAGCAATATCACGAGCTCCTAAATTTTTATGCGAGTTTACAAAACGTGGAAGTTCAACATGAAAACACTGGACGTGTCATTTTCTTGGACATTGGATTGACATTAGTTTGCTTGACGTTGTACATACCGGTAAATACGTGTCGCATTTTTTCGGTAATTCAACTGTTCTCTTGTTTTACTAGAATAAAATATGGAATTATTGTCTCTTCTAGTTCTCTTCTATTGGTGATTCCACGAACACATCAAGAATGACCACGTATTATTTTTTTTAACAAACATGAGCAAATATTTTCTAAAACTAGGGAAAAGTTGATATCATCACAAAATTTATTAAATTAATTGAGCTGGTAGTTTTCAAGACGTCGTCGAAAGAATCTGTTTTGACCAAAATGCAATATAACACAAGACACAAAATCTGAGAGAGATTCACCAAAGGTACTTGTATCCCAAACATCAAACCCTGAGGCGACTATTTTTCAAGAGGAAGATGAAAATGCAATTGTTGACGGATTCAATAGCAGAGGCAATGAAAATAAATCCACCCTGTTCCATATTAAAAGAGCTTACTCAGCAATCGTGGGTATAGGTTGTGTATAGGTTAAACCTAAAAACTCAAACCTGTGTTGAAATGTGGGAGAGATTATTTTGCACAAATCTAAATTTTGAATATTATTATTAATATTATTATCTACCTTTCATTATTACTGATGATGTATTACTCAGAAATTTTCAATACAGGCTGATTAATAGAATTACCATTACAAACAGATTTTTAAAAATATAGTCGATAGTGATAAATGTACTTTTTGTAACAATTTTCCTGAAACACTGCTTCATTTGTTTATAATTGTATTCACGTCTCCACAGCGCGTCGCGATCTTGAATTGGCCCTTGATAATAATTGTAATATTTCAGTAGTTTTTCATCAA